TAATCAGAATTCGATGTTATTAGGTAGTTTGTGTAGTTTGATCTACTGCTTCAGGACCACCTCAGTCTCGTAAATTACCTTACATCGTTGCTAATTTCTTTCCAGGGAGTATCTTTTTGAAGTCTGAATATATGGGAAGGTCACTCTGGCACCTTGTGGTCAGATCGGGAAATTAAAGTAAATGCGAAGGCGATTCAAAACCCAATCATATACAACCATTTGTCATTTGTTGATATTGATCAACTCCAATGGGGCCCCTTAAAGGAACGAAATGATTCTATGCATTTAAAATAGATTAAATACATTAATAACTATTGCTTGAAACGTCAGTTTTGGTAGATATAAGAATACACATTTTATTTTGAAATTCAATGCAAAATGTTTAACGAATTTGAAGCGTTTTCGTCACATCCGCAGAACACTCTTTGAAAATGAGCAAAAACAAACTGAGTATACAGATTCAATATTTTATACATACATATGTATATTTTATGCTTCAGTTAGTGATCGTCCTCCCGCACTTACCGCCCGTATCAAACGAAATTTGTCAAAAGTTAAGCCCGTAGTGACAACGTAGAAATCAATTGTTCTCCTTTATTTTCATTTGAGCAATGTTGTCATTGAAATGAAGAAGCTAAATTTAATATAATGAGTTGATGTGAACAAAAGCGTAAACTAATCTCATTCATATTCCCACACAATTTTAAAGAAAACTTCTTCATTTTATTTTATTAAAGTATCACACGACTTGTCAGGATGAAAGTCGGAAATTGTTATACAGACTATATTGGAGACAGAAAAAGGGATTGCTAATTGAGTTAATTTTTACATTGCTGAGGTATATTCGAGATCATATTCGCAAACATTTTTATAAATATATAACTCATACATTGGACATGTTCGGCATAAGGTTTGTTAGAATAACGAAAATCAATATATGTAGTATTTGGGAGTTGGGGTAATTGTAGACTAAATTCACATATTTTCGATATTAAACTATATTATATCCAATATTATACGTTAAACTATAAACTAATTATAAAATACTCTCTGAGATTCATTAAAATACCTCACATACAATTACCAATCATATGGAGTAAAGTCAGTGGGATGTTCAAAAATTCTAATATTAGTTATATGGAGACTAGGTCTAGTTTCCGCCCATTTTAGACACAAAGATACACTGTTATTAGTGAAACTTGCTCTGTCAATTTCATTTGAGATAACTCACACATTGGCCGATATATGCGGTATAAAGTCACCCTGAAGTTCAAAAATCTTTATATTAGGTAAATGGGGGCTAATGGAAGTATTGACCCGATTCAATCCATTTTGGACATACAGACATACTATTATCAGAAAAGGATCCTCTTTGAATCTCAATTATATATCTCACACATTGACCGATATTTTCGGTAAAAAGTCCACATATTCCGTATCTCGGGGCTTAAACAGTTTTGGTCCGATTTTGACAATTTTTGGTCATAAGATGGCACGCACTATTTGTGCGAAGGTTTATCCCGATATATTCATTGGTGATTGATTTGCATAATGTAATATGAAAGAATCAGATAGAATTTAAAATTTTGTTAGATGGGAAGTAGGCGTGGTTGTGACCCGTTTTCGCAGTGTAACATAGGAATGTCAGAGGGACGCTACTCTCCAAATTTGGTTGAAATCGATCGAGCAATTTGGACCGCGGCTCTCATAAAGTCCTCATATACCATCTTAAAATTGAATATGTCTGGAGTATTTACTTGTAGTTATTGATTTATCGCGCTTTAAGTAGTTTTTAACAGTACTGTTATATAGGGGGTGAACGGGGCTATCAGATTTCATCCATTTTTACACTGTCAGCAGGGGTACTTAATATATTTGTTCTGAGTGAATTTGGTTATTTATGGTGGGCGTGGCAATACTCCGATTAAGCCCATCTACGAATTCGTTCTTAAAATTTTTCCAAGGAACACAATAACATGTTGCAAGAATATAAAAATAGTATACCTATTTATTAACAATCGTATTCGACTGTGATTATTAGTTAGTTTTAGAATATTTCAAATATACTCAATTTTATTTTTTCATTACTATTAAATATCGAGACTGATAACCCTGAGTTTTAAAAGAGCCATCAGCTGATTCGTTTCCACAGGGAAAATCCAATTTTCGCGGATATCCTCATAACATAGTTCGTATCAGCTGATACAGTCTTCGGTTATGCGTCGGTCACTAATTGAAGCATTACCCATATTAGATGAACTTAGTGCGTCTAACCATTTATTCCGTATCGAAATAAAAATCAATACGGTAAGAATTTTCGATCGAAAATTTTCATAAACATGTTTAACACCTTTGACACATTTTCCTACATCCCTTTTTAAAGAGTTATTTTCTTCGCTTTCTTTTTTATGTATGGTGTGCAGGATACATCAGTATTTGCATTAGTATCCATTGATCGGTCAGGCGTTAAATATGATGGGAATAATAGTATTTGTTTGTATTTTTTAGTATCTTGTCTCTAAAATACACGTTTAAATGTAATTTAGTGCGTTCTTAACAATTTTTTCCCATAAATACTTTCAAGTGCCCCGTTTTTTTAAATTTCCGCAACGCATTCATCAACGGATAGATTTCGACAAATATTCTCGGTTTTGCGGTTTCAATGACTTTGAAATTAGCGTCATCATTAGCCAGGGAATTTATTTCATCGATTCGGTAAGCGAGTTCATCTTCATCGAAAATTTTGTTTTCGATTCAATTTCAATGATATCAACGGTATTTGATTCGATCAAATCGGATTCAATGATTAGATCCAGTATCCCAATACATTAAATACTCTTCATATATCTGTTGGCTTTTGCATCAATTTAGAGCTTCCATACTATTTTCTTTCATATATTATTTTATATACATATATATATATGTATGAAAACAATATTATCCCCATTAATAGGTTATAAATTATAAAAATACAATTTTCAAAACGCTAGTGAAGCGATGCGATCCCTGTTTGGAAACATGGATCCCGGGGCCTTAATTCTGCGTCTGCAGACTGCTCCCCTAGCAGCTGCTCTGGGGATGTGAGGACAATGAGATAACTTTTTCTTTGAATATTGTAACCTCGTCTCTGGCGTACAAGTAATTTCATTAACCAATATGTAAGTTGCTTCCAATGGGACAAGTGCACCTTACACTTTTTCGACTTACAAAGCTGACTCCTATAGTTGTTGCCCGCTGAAAGTCGACCAGATCGCACGGAGACGCAACAATAAACCGCGAAGTTTTAGCCAGTATTTTTTGAGAATCACTTAAATAATTTTCATCGATTGCTTCAAACATTGTAAGACAACTAATAAATAATAATCGGTGAGTTATTAGATCGGTTAAACGTCGAGATTAAAGTTAGGCGAAAGGATTTTCAGGCTTTCTTTGATTTGACGGTTAAACACTCGGGTTCAAAGTGAAAACTTTCGTCAGCGAATATAGGCGAGGTCGCTACGGTACCTGTGATTGTAATCTTTTTTATATCTGTACATCACACACTTAAAATACCCTGCTTTCCAACATTCAATTTGATACTCTGATTGAATTGAGATTTGATATACAGGTATATTTAACACTAGTTAAGGGATTTTATCTCTGTAGAGAAATGTATCCACTTTTGTTAAAGTTGTAAAAAATATTTGCGACATAAAAAAGCAGCTTTTGAAAAGTGCTGTTTTGGTTATCGTTCGCTTTTACTAGTTTTTAATAAAAGTAGGCAGACGTACTCTTCAATTTCGTTCTAGTTATAGTTCAATTAAAAAAGAAAATTCCATTCTTTCAACATTTCGAAAAGTTTATGCTTGTTATATTTAAATTATCACACCTCATACCCAGTATGGTTATACTAACTGAATTTTCGCACCTTGTTGTCGTTTACCAAGTTTCAATTACATCCGTGAACGAAATAAATGTTACTACTGTTTAAACGTTGTTAACATTTTGGCGGCTCGCTCGCTCCCTTAAATAAATATATAAAATCATTTCCAAAAACAAATAACTAAATAAATAATATGTACAAAAATATAATAATATACTCCCCCTGCTGGTAGGGGTAAGAATTTACCCGCGGTAAGGCATGCCGTCGTAAGAGGCGACTAAAAGCCAATATGCACTATGACTGTTATTATGTACCTTGCTCAGTAATATCAGCATAGTAAATGATGTCAGAAATAGTGCTATAATACTCAGCTTGAACTGATATTATAGACTTTAAATGAAAAAGCAAATAAAAAGACATTTGAAGTTCAAGCGACAAATGTCATCAGTCATTGAGTAATGGGTAGCTCAACTGACAGTAGTTTCGGCTACGCAGTCTGACCGGAGACTCAACTCCGGTACCACGGGGAGCAGAAAGCCCTTGGACTTCGGTCCAATCTGCTCATTGGGTTATGGCCCCTTTGGGGAGATTCGTGGTGGCTGTGTGCCCAGACACACTGCCACTGGTATCGAAATAAATACTTGCAAATAGCTCGTATTGTTTGGGGCGCTTATCAACGCATTGTATTGATACGATGTTATACCGCGATGATCATATTCGCGCTTGTGGTGATAACTAGGAAACCCGGATTTCTATGATTTGCGCTTTCAGTGCATACTTACAGAAAGTGGCAAAAATATTCATAAAATTAATTGTTTATTTTATTTTTGTACGCATATATTTATGAATATTGAAAATCTAAATCACAAATTCAAGTCCAAACCGCAACAACTCATTTATGTACATAATTCAGTGTTACATTTTTTTTAATTTTGTCTTTGTTATAACGTTGTTAAAAAATATATAAGTGTATATTTAAAAATCTATATGTACTAAATATTTAACATACAAATGTATCTAACCGAAATTAAATAACATGAAATTAATGCTTAGAAGCATATTTTATGTGAAAAAATCACCAATTACCATCTGATTACCCAATAAACTCATATATACATTATTTAATAAATTATTCGTATTTTCCGAAATTTGTTCAAAGATTTATTTCTTAACTATTGGCGTTTCACATACATAAATACACAAAAATGTGATCATACAAATATTTATATATTGTATGTACATACATATGTATATGGCGAAATCCACTCAACCAATCCGAATGTTTTTTCTTTTATTTATATAATTGTGCATTGAGCGAATTTTAAATTAATTATGAAAGTAAATTTGCAATTTCATGTTATTCCTTATAAATTGCGCTTTCTCATTTTATTTACAAATTTTTATTTTAATATCATTCAATTTTGGCGCCTTATATATGCAGAATTGGAACTTATTTAATACATCGATTTGGTGTTGCTAAAATTTGGTTAGTAAAAAGAAAGTAGAGAACAAACTACGGCCCTGATTTATTGCAACAAGCACGGATATCTATAAAGTGTATAAATGACACTCATTTCGGCTCCATCGTCCATGTTACAGTTGAGACAACTGTGGTAAATTAATTTATCACCTTTAGTTCAGTAGGGGTCTAAACCATGCTGATGCGTTCGTTTGCAGATTGTGGTACTAAGTTTGGATCTCTTTGGAACTGTGTGCTTGGGCCATCCGATGCCGCCCCAGCATTGGGTGCTTCACCACTAGCTGCAGTTGAAGCACCACCCGATGAAGTAGCGCCACCATGGTGGCGAGATGTGCTACGATTTACGAAAATACGCACATTCTCATCAGTGTAATCGACGATGCGACGTTTTTTCTTTCGTGTGTATTGTTGTTGCTTTAGATAAATCTTAAGGATACCTTTTACAGCAATAAATGTTAAACCGCCTAGAAGAGTACGATGCAGGGTATCTTCAATTGATTCAAAGAGCAAACGGCCGACTATAGTCGATATGGTTGGTAAAATTAGGGCTCCACAAAATATTCGAGTGGCAGAGACTGGATCTGCCAACGTAGGCGTTGCCGGATTTTGCGCCGATTGTTCCTCTTCATTTTCACTGCAAACAAAAACAAGGTGTATTATAAAAGAAAATCTGTACAAATTGAAAATATTTATAGAATTTATATTTTCTATATCTACGCACTATTTTTCACACAAAAAAAAGGAATGGACAAAACAAATATTTCAATTTTCAATAAGAAAACCTTTTTTGCCTCATAGTTTTTGCACAACATATGCACCAATAACGTATTAATCAGGGGTGTTGTGGAATCCAAGACAGACTTGGGTAGTTGTCAGAATTGCAAACTAATTCTGATTTTCAAAACCATATGCAAAACCATTATTCGAATCAGCTGTCTACTAATGTGACAAAATTTCAAATGAATAAATTAGGAAGCGTTTTATACATTTGAAATGCTGAATGAAATCTACTAAAGTTTACAATGAGTTCCGCTATTTTAGCTTTTATTTTATTTGACGAAGCAACGAAAAAAATAAAAGGAATATATTGAAAGAGCACAGTAATCCAGTTAAATTATGTTTGTTACGTTTTGTAAATTCTCTTAAAATATCTTGATTTTTTTCATAAACTCGATAATTATGACATTTTTTGTTTTTTTCTTATGTTTTCCCCAATAGAAATAACGATCAATTAAATCGTAACAATAATATAAATTATTTTCTTAACTTTCATTTCAAATCTGTCAGCAAAAATCCTCTTGCTTTGTTTCTGATAACAAAACCCATAAAATTGGTTTCCGTGACACCCAAAACCGATACAAATTCTGTTTCGAACGTCAAACCAATAATATCTGAATTCATGACACCTACTACATTTTTTTATCGCTTTCAATTCTGATTCCGACAACTATCAGATTCTACAACACCCCTGAATATTTCCATTGTCCATAGATTTCAATTGCACGTAAACAAATTTTATATCACAGTTTATTTTGAATAAACTGAAAAACAAGTTCCACATAAAAATAGAATATTTTATGTAGTATGAAAAATGTTACCCTCTCATTAATCGTAAATCTGGTGTAAATATTTACAATAAACTCCTCATTTTTAAATATATTTTTCAACCCATAATTTTCTATGGAGCCCTAGTCTGGGCGAAGTGATGCAAGACAAACTTTTAAAAATAGTACTGAACCACCCCTGGAACCATGCCATTGTGAATCGGCACCTTATTGCTAATATACCATAGAGCTACTGTCGGACAGACTTCATAAACTAACGCAAAATTATAACTCTTAATGCTATAATTCAGTTTAGCATACCAACACATAATTTAACTTGTTTCATAATTATAGTGTACATTTTTACTATATTAAATATGTATTAATTTTTTTTCTCCAAATGGGTTTCATTCCTTAATTTTGCCCTCTAATTATATATTGTCATAACTAAGCTAATTCATAACAATTCTTGTTATAATTAAGTAGATAACACAATTATGTCTAAACTCTTATGTTAATTATAAATCGACACCACATTTGTATGTATACTTAAATTTGTCAATAAATAAATGAATGAAAATTTTAAATTAAAAGGGTTTCAAACTTTTAAGTATAATAAAATAATTCAAATTTTATTGAATAACTTCGCTTTTTTAACAGAGCATTCCATTTCATGGAAATAGGGTCTATGAAAAATGGCAATCCTTCCCAAACTTTCTTCACCACCTGCCACGAATCTTTCGAATTGGTTGGTTTTCGTTCAAAAACACTTTTTTTCATATCGGCCCTGTGGTCAGGAGACTGAACAAACTGAATCATAACCTCAACTCCGTAGACTTTATACCACTTCTTTGCACTTGCTGATGGATTATTATCTTTTTAGTATAACCATATAAATGATATACTCGTATTCCATCAGGCACTTCATCCATGACTTCTTCAATCAAGAGAATTAGACCAACTTCACTATGTGAAAAGCTACCCCCTGAAATGATTTCATTACGTGTTAGGGGATGTTGAACAAAGTTGAAAGAACTTTTACTACCAAATAATTAAATGGCTACTGCAAAGCATTTATTTTACAGTATTGTCTTATATTGGGATCGTCTACAATGGGTGATTGGCGCTTTCGTTCAGGTGTTTAATTTTTATTCCTATAATTTAATTCATTTGCTAACATTTGATTTCCTTCGATCCCTTAGATCTCCTTATAAATTCTACATTATTTTCTTAATTTTTTTATAATTTTCCACTTAACCTCTGTATAATGCTGTCCTAATATAAATTGCTTCCTTATTTTTTTAATTTTGCGAATATTTTGTAAGTACAACATACTTTTAGAAAGGAAACACTTCCATTTTTTTTATGGAAAGTAATATCAATGGCGTCCGAAAACTAGCTATATTATAACACTCACATACAAAATATAATTTTCATTACTCACGGAAAAGGAATAATGAAGTTCATCAGTGGGAATTTTCGTGCAACACTTCGACGGTTTCGGATCAATCTGATTACTGCGTCCTCCCAGCGAATCATACGTCCCAGTACTAGACCAACTGGAATTGCAGGCAAACCAAGTAATAATATTAGTGGATCACCATTTTCCATTAGGGCCAATCCCTTTTTATGCCCAACAATCTGTTGTATAAAATAGTTATTGAGTATTTGGGAGGATTATATATCATCATAACTACCTGTAGGAAGGTTACAGCTCCATAAGTTACTGCTGTCCAATATAATGAACCAACAAAAATACCGGCAGCCAGAAAGGGACTTAGGCGTTTAATTATATTATCGAAAGCTTCTAATAAATTGGCAACTTTGCCCATTTGTGGAAAAACAATAATATATTCGGTTTGGCACTGTTGACAACTAACTGCACGCATCCCGTTACCCTTTTGTTTCTCATCTACCCATCGATATAAACAACTTTGATGGACCCATTTTGTAGTACCACGACATTTACATGGCTGCACCCAAGGAGCTAGACGGTTATCTTCATCTGTTGCAAAACAAATCCAGCAACTTCTTTCCCCTAATTCATCTCTAACTGTCTCATTCATTATTGGTTCTATTCCTAAATTGACAGCAAGCATTTTCCCTGCAGATGATGTAGACGCTTTATCTTCCTCATTTAGTGCCAACATATCTGGCGTTTGAGGCTGTTGTGTCAACTTGGTTAGAGATGTAGTGGACACATTTCGATCCATTTGGGGAAAATCTGAAGGTGGGGCAGATTGGGTTTCAAAAGTATGCATCATGTTGGACCTTATTACTTTATTTTCATTGGATGCTGTGCCAATAGTCACTTCGGTTATATCCTGATTTAGGTCACTCTTTTTCATACTAGTATACAACTTCAAAGGGGCGTGGACCTTTGGTCTTTATGTATATGTTTGTAAATATATTGACTGAACTGAATGCACTATACTTATAAAAACTTTTTACACAAGCACGTCTAAATCAACTTTTCATCAAAATAATCAAAAATTCTTAAAATCCAAATTTTTGCACCTTTTATGGCTTTTGCTTTGATCAGCAGATTCACCTTCTGTCGGCTGAGAATATGTAAACGTTTTCGACGTCCTCTTGTGTTGCTTCGTTTGTTTCTGTTCCTCTTTTAACAACCGACACATCAAAGCTTTTTATGCAAACAATATTACAAAAGTTGTTCTATGCAATATTCTTAGTTGTATTGCATGTAGTTATATTTCTTTTACCTATTTAGCACCTTATTTCTCCAATGCAGCAATTCTATTTAATTTCGACTCTTCCCAAATTGACTTCAAATTTGGACAATAAATTTGAAGAGCTTCGAAAATGAAGAACACCGACATAAAAAGCTGCCAGATTGGTGAAATATTTCTAAACATTCAAAAGAAAATATTGTAAAGAATTTCTCGATAAATCGTCTACCTTGTAACTCTCTCTTGAGTTCTTGAGATTGTTAAATAAAAGGGTGGGCTTTAGTTTAGCATCCCACGATTTCAGGGTTAAGAGAGGTATGGTTGGATAGAGGATCCTCCAGGTCACGAATATATATAATTATTGCCGCCGGAAACTTATAGTTTTCGAGATATTTGCATTTTAAGTTGAAAATTTCACAAATTTTATTTTACAATTTCTCGATTTATGGTTATCTTTTCTTTTATATTATGCACTTATTATACACTAACTTTTCACTTCAATGTTTCTACATATTTATTTTATATTAAATATTTAAGTATTTGCTTTAAATAAGCATTTAATTTTTACACAATTTGCTTATATGAACAATAACAAATGGGTTCTATGTTGACAGCTAACAAGTGTTGCCATATCTATTATATATATATATTTATATTTTGAAAGCGAATTAAAATGAATAAGAGAGGATTATACCCCAAATACATGAACTATAATTTTGTTCATTCCCTTCTATTAATAAATTATGGTATTGGATTGGCCAGGGTTATTTTTTGACGCGATTAAATTATGAACACCCCGGTGTTAGACCGACCAGGGTTGTTTTTTTGAAGCGCGGCCGAAGGCCGCCAGTGCGGAAAGAGATTTGACGCGATCGAATTATGAACACCCGGTGTTGGACCGACTAGGGTTATTTTTTTGAAGCGCGACCGAAGGCCGCCAGTGCCAATAAGATATCTTAACAAAAAAAAAGTAATTTTAAAGAGGGTCAATCACTCTCCATAAACTTCAATTTTTATTAAGGATAGTTATAATAACAGTGAAGATTTTGAAAATTGGGTATATGTATACATATGGCGTAAAAATATAGCAAATCAGCATCATGATCCATTTGTGAAATTATCAGATGCAATAAAACATACGTTTAAGCCATAAAATCTTTTTCTTTTATATTTATTATCTCTTATTTGATTGGGTTTTTTATTTATTTTGATTGCTTTCATTCGTTTGGATATGGCAACACTTATTATCTGTCAACATGGAACCCATTTGTTATTGTTCATATTACGAAAATTGTGTAAAAATAAAATGCTTATTTAAAGCATATACTTAAATATTCAATATATAATAAATAAATATGTAGAAACATTGTAGTGAAGTGTTAGTGTGTAATAAGTGCATAATATAAAAGAAAAGTTAACCATAAATCGAGAAATTGTAAAATAGAATTTGTGAAATTTTCAACTTCAAATGCAAATAACTCGAAAACTATAAGTTTCCGGCAGCAATATTTATATATATTCGTGATTTGGAGAATTTCCTCCATTCAACCATACCCCTCTTAACCCTGAAATCGTGGGATGCTAAACTAAAGTTTTCCCAAATAAAAGTCTCAAGTTAATACTATTATGCTACTTATTACACGTTATTCGAGTTTACAAACTATTGCTTAATTGGTCTTTACACGGCAGCACTGTAATTAGAACTGTGTCTACTGCACAACCTGGCAGCCCTTATATACAATAGTAGAAGTATTCTAACAAATTATCGTATATTCGATTTTTTCTATTATCGGTGTTCACCACATTGCCCTCCACCTAAGTCTGATCGTCGCGATTAGACTAATTTGCGGTACCAAACGGTGGAAGCCGGTCCAGATGAACTACCTTATTCCGTAGTCTTCCAATGATCTGTATGTGGTACTTTACATCGTTGAGTCGTTTAATGACCTGGTATGGTCCTTCCTAATTACACAGTAATTTTGAAGACAGCCTTTTCTTTCGTTATGGGTTATATAACAGTACCCAATCGTATGTATATCCCTCATCTCGTCTTCTAGGATGCTGTTGACTTTCTTAGCATTCCTTACTCAGTTGGCGTTAATTCCGAATTCCAAATTAATCGGTAGTCGAAGATCATTACCAAAAATTACCTTTGCTAGAGTGTGCCCTGTTGTTTCATGTATAGCAACCGATAGGCCATCTGAACAAGGATATATAGGTATCTCAACCTTTTTCATACCTGTCCACAACTGCCACAACGTTCGATTGAATCATTCAACCATGACATCGGACTGCGAATGTAGTGCAGTTGTACGGGTTTTCCGGATACCCAGTTTCTACACATCTCCGAAATTAGAGCGGTTCAAAATTTCACCCTTGGTCAGAATGTAATTATATTGGAAACCCGAATCTCGTTATTCACTTGTTGATGAACTCCTACTGGTTCAGTCTCTTGATTAGTGAAATAGTCCTTGACCACCAAAACAGATTTGTTTCCAAATTCATTTGTGGGGAATGGATCATCCATACTCGCCATACAGTTCGCTCAAATGGTGCACCCGAATTGTACTGCTTCATCTGGATATGACTCTTCAATATCAATCATTTAGCTGCAATGCACTCAGCGTAATTGGCAGTAACAGATTGACGATAACGCACCGAATGATATTTTTGCTACCTTAACTTCTCCAAGGTCGTCGTGATTCTCAAGTGCCCTTCACTTGGACCGTTTGAGAACTTCAGGAATTCTAACCTTCCGAACAACCACAAGTGCTCGAGAGCTTTGCCCATATTTACTTTTCAATACGCGATGGAAGCAGACACTAACTTTAAACTATTTTACTTATGCAAATGTTTGATGCACGTCACCTACGTCAGTAATTTCCTCCGAGTAACACAATTATTTCTCTCTGGCTTTTTTATTAACTGGCTGCAATAAACCACTTTCTCGTGACCATCAATGACTTTTGATAGAACTCCTACTGTCATCCGAATCCTAAATAAACGCTGATCCTCGGACCGGGTAAGTTAACATTGGCGCAATACATAACCGTTTCTTCAAAGTTTGGAAAGCCACTTCCTGTTCTTTATTCCATTCAAAAACTCTGTTCTTTTTCGTGCGTTCATAGAGGCTACTAGCTACGCTGGCAAAATTTGGAACGAATCGTCGATAATAAGTACAAAGTCCAAGGAACCTCGCAATTCATGTAAATTTTTAGGAGCGGGCCAATCTATTACATCTTCTCTCTATTCTTTAGCTGTGCAAATGCCCTCCGTCGCTTTGTGTCCTAAGTAGTTTACTTCCTACCATCTCCAACGGTGAAAGCCGTCTTTTCTTTATATTCTTCCTGTACCTTCACTTGCCAATAACCACTTTTCAAATTAAGTGTTGAGAACCATTTTGTGCGAGAATTGTTTGAAAATGGCTAAATTTAATGATATAAAGATTTCACAACTAAAAAAGGAAGTGAAACAACGTGATTTGGCAACAAACGTTATAAAGTCTGACTTACAGTCACGTTTACGAGAGGCCATGAAAGCAGAAAACGTTAATGTTAACGAATATGTGTTTTAATTGAATTAGTGGAAGAAACAATGAGAATACAAGAGAGAAAGACACTCAATGTTCAACCGAGGTTGTTTTGGCTGCGTTGAAAGCGTTGTCATCTGGGGTGCGTATGTCAGCGCAGGTGTCCTCACAGTTGGAAGAGGAGGAAGAGTGTGAACCAGAGTACGAAGAGCAAAGAGCTTGCATACCCCACAAGTGTCGTCGCAGTCTGAAGAGGAGGAAGCGTGTGTACCAGTACAAGAGTCCTCACAGTCAGAAGAGCAAGAAGCTTGTATACCAGCACAAATGTCCTCGAAGTTGGGAGAGCAGGAAGCGTGTATACTAGCACAGTAATCCTCAAAGATGGAAGAGCAATATAAAATTAAAACCGAAACGAATCACTCTTTGCAAGAAATTCAGTAGCGGACGCATTCATCAACAAGTGGGTAACGAGATTCGGAATGGAATCTCGAGTCAGCTTTAAGTCAAGGGATGTATCACAAACTGGGTATTCGTAAAACGGATGGAATAACTCCAAGAGAGAACGACAGCTAAGGAAGTTAACGCCATCCTTGAAGACGAGATGGAGCAAAAAGCTTTGTGTTTGGCACCGCAAATATGTATAATCGGGATCGATCAGACTTGTAGCTCAAACAGTCATCGACATTCCCCCCTTCCGTACTTTCCGCCCTAATCAAACCAAATTTGTCATAAGTTATGAACGTAGTTACAACGCAGAAATTAGTTCTCTTTTGTATTTATTTCACCAATGTTGCCATTGTTCCGTTTGTATACACGATTTTTCACACATTTAGTTTTTTAGTTTTAATTTTTCATAATGTAAAAGCTCCAAACTAAAATCCAACTTTTAAAACTAGTTTACCTATTTATAAATTAATGTTTCGACTGTAATTTTGAGTTATATTAAGAATATTTCAAACATATTCAAGTTTATTTTTTAATTACTATAAAATATCGAGATTACCAACCCTGCGTTGCAAGAGATTGCTCTCTTACTCTCAGCTCACTCATTTCAATTCGAAAAGATGTCATCTTCAAAAAATTGGAACGTTGAAGATAAAATAGCTTCACTGTTCGTTGTATTAAAAGGACAAGGATGAAATGATGCGAGACTCTTTGAATCGAGAGACAGCTGTCAAAACCCACATTTTTTGTATTGGGTATTATAAAAAAAACTTTTGGGTATTTTGCATTTCGATATTATTTTTAGGTGCTCCGTCCCCGAGTAGGTCTATATAACGCATATACATCCTAAATACGTGTATTTATATTATATTATACAATTTTTAAAAATCATATAAATTAAAAAACGCATATAAATAAAAATTATAACAAAACCAATACAAGTCATAAAAAAAGATCATGGTTTTATGATGAACGTTAAAATTAAATTAACAAATAAAATTTAGTTGCACGTTATTCAAAAGTATTTGTGTCGTTCCTTGAAATTTCGTTTCTCACTGCTTTTGTTGGCTATTTTTAGCGAGTTTATTTCTGGCATCCCGCCTTTTTTAATTTTAATAATCAGGGAAAGAAATAACAGAAAATCAGCGAAAATGAGAGAGTCTCACATCATGTCATCCTTGAAAA